AGAGTTAAAAAGAGCTGATACTGCTGATAAACGAATTAAATAAAGAAAAATTATGATTATGTCCCAAAAATTGGGACATTTTGCTCAAGTAAGGTTAATAGGTCACGCAGAATACGAGTTTTACTAGCCATTCTCTTTCTTTCTAATTCTTTTTAATTTTGCTCTATCACTTTAACTTATGGCTTTATGTATTTATGACAAGGAAAAAAGAGAAGAAAAAATATACTTATCTGTTTTTCCGTGAATTTTCCGTGAAAACAGAAATCCAAGTTTTGACTCAAGCACAAGCTGAATGTCGAGCACTAATCTGGGCGTCTCTGTTTGTTAGTCACACAATCCCAACTATATACCACCGTCATAATCTCGCGTTCGTGAGTTCGAAGTATCTGGAAAGGGCACCAAACATGATAATATTTCTCCTATTATCTCTAAACGTTAGTATGTTGCGGAATGGAGGTCCTCCCCACCTCCTCCAATCAGGAGATGCATTTATGACAATAAGTCCCCCACCGATCCTTCTTTAACTAATAAACCTATTTATTCTTTTATTTCTTAACATATCCCTCCTGCCGTGGGGCACACCCCCACGCAGGAGGACCCTTCTCCTCCTTCTTACTCTATTTTCTATTTATCTCTCCAGAGTAACTACTAGTTTCTTCCTCCTACCAAAACTATCTCTCTCTCTTCTCTTTCTCGTCACTCTCTCTCTTTAAATACTACATAAAATACTACCTAAATGTATTATTTTGGTAGTAATTTATATGTTGCAATGCTAAACCAATATTTTTGCAAGAATAAGTTGATCAAACACGTGCAAACGGCGGTCCCTACTCAAATATATTTAGACTAAGGCAAGGTAATGGTATTTCTTTGTGACTGCCTAAATATGGAATTGTTGACCTTCGGTAATATGGTCATTCGCTTAAGATGACAACTGAATATAAGTAGAAGCAAAGTATGAAATTAGTCGTCTCATTATTGTTCACAATTTAATCTCTTCGCCAAAACCGAACTTTTTACTCTCACTTTCTTTATATACGTATGTCTATCTAATGGTCTCCTATAATTATTGAACCATTTCTTAATTATTTAGTGATTAACTGTTTCAATATTTACATTGTATTTGTTAGCTTGGTTAAATAATCATGAAGGTATTTAATACTTTACATTAGTACTTTCATAATAAAATCAATAGTTTAAAACATTTTGAGCGTGTTAACTAATAAGTATGTAAAGATAAATTATTTCTGATTAGTTACAAAAGTATGTAATTTGATCACGCTGTCAACAATTTACGATATATTTATGTTAATTTGCAATTAACCCTAGATTTAAGAAATGCATAGTTACATATGTACAATTAAAACCGCAATATTTACAAAAAAAGGTATTTATTACATGTAATACAGACGCTTAATGCATTTTTGACTCATCCTGGATTTTTTTATACATCAATACGATTAAACAAACATTGCAAAACTGACACACCTTCATCCAAATTACGTCCAACAAAATTAATTTCTTCGAAATTTCAGCTTTCACCCTGCTCTACGAGGGAAAATCAATAAGTAGTGTGAATATATTTTTTTCTTGAAAAGTGCACATATTTGGCAAAATATTTTTTGATGATGTTGAACTGCAGAATGTTTGACATTCTTCATAAAAAAATGGGGTCGTTTCGTTTATTATTATTCCTACACCATCCATTTGAAAATAGGCTCGATTGAAAAATTACTTGCGCGTTTATTTTTAGATTTTGGCTAATTACTTTTTATATAGTAAATAAAGTATATAGGTCAATATTTTTATGAAATCGTATGACCATGTACTACGATATAAAAATAGTCACAGGTAACAAAAAGTACGAAGCCGATTTGAATTCACACGTTTTCTAAAACCCGGATTTTACGCACGCTTACGAAATGGGATATTTTGGTATTTCACTGCATATTTTTGATAATATGTACTGTATACTTACCAAATTTGTACCCAATATAGATATGGCTTGCTGCTTTAATAATTTATATATTTGTAAAACATTATCTTCAGTTTGTAATCTATAAATCGGCTTAGAGTGAAGATAAACATTATTTTTGCCGTTTTTTCCATGAGGTTGTAGAAATTACATGGTGAATATTTTTGTTATTCAAGTCAGTTTTTTTACAGCAGGCTAGTTGTGTTTCATTTATAAAGTATCGAAATAATAGATTTTATAACCTCAAAAGGAAAATTCAGTTGATAAAGTTGGTAGAAAAAATAAAAAAATAAACGCGCAAGTAATTTTTCAATCGAGCCTATTTTCAAATGGATGGTGTAGGAATAATAATAAACGAAACGACCCAATTTTTTTATGAAGAATGTAAAACATTCTGCAGTTCAACATCATCAAAAAATATTTTGCCAAATATGTGCACTTTTGAAGAAAAAAATATATTCACACTACTTATTGATTTTCCCTCGTATTATAACTTTTACCAACCATCACCATCCCTTTAAAAATTTCCAGATAGAGCCCATTGTGCATTATGGTCTGTATATTAAAAAGAGAGTCAATTTTACATGAATAGCTTATGGAGAACTGTATTTTCTTTAAAAACACAGACCGTAGTTAAAATTTCTTTTTTGTACAATTCTGCATCACTATCGCCCCTTGTTTTGTAGTCTGTGATTCCAGATAAACCAAATATGAACATCATGCAGCATCACTTCCATCTTTAATGATCTACTTCATAACCGTTTTCAAGCGGTCCGTGCTTATTTTTCTTTCCAACAATGCTCTAATTCCCCCTTCCGGAAACCTGAACGAATATAAGCGTTGGAGAAATGGTTACATCGTCCAGCTTGCGCCGGATTGGAGTAAGATCTTGAACTATTGAAAAATAGAAATTTTACATTGCAATAATTTTTTTCGGTACTGCGCATATCCAACTCATTGAGAGGTCATTGTGCGAAGTTAGCAGTAAAATTTGCATCCCAATCATGAACTGGCCAACGGTATCGGTGCCGAGTGGGGATTCTGTACGTATACATTCAGTGGTGGGAGTTTGTTCGGGATGTTTTTCAGATGGAATTGAGAGACGTATCGAAAATACTGATAAATTTGTAAAATATATTTTCTAATATGAATACTGTAATATTTTTATGAGTATTAATCCAATCAACCAAATTCTAGGGGGTGGCAGATAAATTATCAACATCCAGAAAAACGGATGTGTCTATAAGGGAATAATTATGCATGAAAATATCCACGCCATGGGATGCAAGCATGAGCAAACTCGTCCAGATCGTGACAAATATATTACCGTTTACCCCAATGAGAACCAAGATGGGAGTAAGTGTTTGAAATTTAGCATAATTAACTGACGATATACGTCCCTCCGTATACATTAAATTTCTAATTTTACAAATGCTTCAAGAAATTGTTGAATGCTGCAAATTTTGCTTAATGAAATAGTTTCTTTACAGCACTAAAATTGATTAATTGACCACTGTAAAATATATAACCTTTAATTAGCCTTTTTTTACCAGGGCTCCCTAACTTTCGGTATTGGATATGACGCCTCTTCCATTATGCATTATATTTCTTACGATTTCAGTAAATACGGGAACTCTACTATGCAAAAAAAGATGCGTGGTTATATAAATTGTGAAAAAGTATTTAGAAATATGCTAAAATTTCTTACATTACAGGATGGCTCAATTATTGTCAAGAAAGATATTCTCTCACAGACAACGATGTTGCCAAATTGCGAAAAATTTATAATTGTTAACCCAGCAAAAGTAACAAGTGGTTATCTTAGATGCCAAGTAATAAAACATATTTAAATTATACCACATTAAGTGCTCGAATAATAAATCATACATTTATGCATGTACTTATTTGTGTTAGATATGTGTAGATCATGCGCAAATTTATGTCCCTATGGTAATCAAACTGGCAACTCGTCACATCCCCAAATTTCTCGTTTCTTTTGCAATTGCATTGTAAGTAAATATATGTATGTGACATAAACGGTGCTAATTCTAGTGTGCAAACGTTCCTATGTAAATATACACTAAAAAGAATGCACATGGCTAATATTTTTATTCCATGGTTGCAAAGAGATGGCAAGTTTGATAAATTAAATCAATCAAAAATCCAAGGTTTCAAATTCCGGTTACAAATTTATTTTATTTAGAATCAGGCAGTAATTTATTTATTGGGACGAATCATACTTTTGTGTTAAAGGTATGGTAATTCGGTAAGTTGCATAATAAAAGGAAATTACCAAAGGTAATCATTTTCAGGAAATTAAACATGAAATCAAGAATTCTTACCATGTTAATGACTTAGTGAAATATTTTACATCACAGGTCCGAAAGATTGTAAATTATGCAAATAAGTATATTCTGAAAAATTGAGAAGACAATTTGCGCATCAAAATGACAGACAAGAAGATAAGTTCCGCATATTACAGATAAAATCAACATTGGCTTGGTTTCTTCCGCAGAATTTGATCATGATTTATTACCTAAAAATATTATAAATGATAACCAGTCGTAAAACATTACATATTTTTGTACCGCATAAAACGGTTGGATTAACCATCGGTCATATTCCCACCAATAAATTTTATCAGATATCTGTTGGTTTACCGTTTACGCAAATTTCGATCTATCTAGCTTTACCTGGGTAGAGAAATCAGTGTGATATGCAAGGAGAATGTACCCACGTCATTTGATATCTATGTTGCTCATTTTATGATAACAAATTTTATGATTAATTCAGTTGGAAAGAGCGAGGTATACCATACCTATTTATTTGTATGCAAATAAATATATTTCATTATTTCACAATTTTCCTAAAAACATTACCTGGAATTTAAGAATTAGATCATTCCGTCAAGCTAATATCGTCTTATTTATTTGTTGAATGAGGCAAATTATGCGGAAATTAAACTACGTAGGAAAATTGAAACATAAGCACAATAAAAAATCACGGATATAAAAGCCGGCTGAGTTGATGGTATAAAACATAATTCATTTTTCAGTAAAATACATACAAACCAATTTATATTACATTTTTGAAAAAATGTTGCGAATTCTGACCACAGTATTCACCTTGGTTCTCGGGGAACTTCTCTTGCAATGTTCTGCAGTTCCTGTTGCCATTGCGGATGGTCCCGTTCCCTTACAACGACCTAAAGTTGACCTTGCCATTTTGGGTAAATTGTACTAAAGTTTCTAAATCGTAATTATATTTCTAACCCTAGAGGAAATTTTTTAGTGATTTTGAAAATATTACAGAACAAGAATTGAACCCTACCGATTTTAACATAACTTGTACCACCAGAGATTCCGACAGCATTGGAATATTTTCTGGAAATCCTAACCTTAATTCGCGTTGGAGAAATGGCTACATCGTCCAGATTGCGCCGCAGTGGAGTAAGATTTTGTCTAAAAAATATTTCCGTGACAAAATAATATATTTTTATATTTCAGGTACTGCACAAGCTCAACTTATAGAAGGCGCGAGGTACGAAATTAGCACCAAAATTTGCATCCCAATCATGAAATGGCCCACGGGATCGGCGCCGAGTGGAGATTACGTGTACATTCAGAAAGGAGGGAGTGGTTCGGGATGTTACTCGGATGGCATTGGGAGAAGTATGTACATTTTATTTACCAATTAGAATATGTAGGTATGATTTCTTGGCGATGAATTTCTATCCCATCTACCAAATCTTAGGGGGTGGCCGACAAATCATAAATCTGCAGGATCCCGGCTGCGTCACTAAGGGAATAATAATGCACGAAAATATTCATGCCATGGGATTCCACCATGAGCAAGTTCGCCCAGATCGCAACAACTATATCACCGTGTACCCAAACGAGATTGTGGACGGGAGTAAGTTTTATTTTTTGTATTAGTATACGCATTGCAGTCGGCTACCACTTGCAACTTACCAGTGTTTCGCCTGCTTATTACCCTGACTTTGCCTAAAGGTGGTTTTGTGTACCAAGTCAGAGGAGAGAAGAATAAAAATAAATATAAAAAATGAAAATGGGCTTAACCGAGATGTGGCAGGATGCCCCATATGACACTTTTGGACGTTGTACGTAAACAAACAAATAACCTTACGATACTGATCAGATTACTGATATGAACCAATTGGGAATTGTGTTATATTAAAATTAATATGAACGATAAGCCAAAAACGTTAAAAAATATTTATTTTTAATATGGGAAATTATCCTTGTTAACTTTCTTGCTGAATACTTGTCAAATTTTGATATTTCAAAATTAATTCGTCCTATGTAATTTGAGAACGTTTTTTAATTTAAAACAGACGCCAATACCCAGTACCAAATCTACCAGGGCTCGTTACCTTCGGCGTTCCCTATGACTTTTCCTCCATAATGCACTATGGTTCTTACGATTTTTCCAAGTATGGAAATCCTACCATGCGAAAAAAGGTATAGATTTCTATCATTATTAAGTATTTTAGATTGGTTCAATTACCTGATAATTTCGTATCTTTATTCAGGATGACTCAATTATTGTGAAGCAACGAAATGGTCTCACAAACAATGATGTTGCCAAGTTACGAAAAATGTATAATTGTTAATTATATTGTTAAGGTTAACATATTTAATCTTACTGCGACAACTATTAATAATTGATGATTTTGGAAAATAAATACATAATTATAAAAAACAAGTTTGAAGTGGTTCCCAAATATTTATCATATTATTTGAAAGTATACGTCAGCACAATAAAATCCCGTTATGAGAAATTATTAAATACGCGAATTCAGTCAATGATAACAATTAAGCTTATCTCATTATGAATGACTATAATGGCAAAAAGTATGATACCTGGGATAAATTTATTGGACCATACACCTAAATTGTAACCATAACAATTAGGTAATTTATAATCAGTGGCGTACCGTGCCTTGGTCCGGCCTGGAGAGTAAATTTTGAGTACGGCCGGTTTTTGGAACGTTAATTTTGTATAGATTTACCGATATTTCTTTTCCTGCGCACGTATGTAAATATTTTTTTGCCTGCATAATGCACAGAAAATACGATAATTAACGAAAGTGCATAAAAATGCATGAAAAGGAAAATGACATAGTTAGGGCCAGGAATTTCATATTCTATCTCCTTCAAGTCAATTAAAATTAGTTAACTTAATCTTATAGACTTCCAAAATAAATAAAAATCAAATAGATTTTTAAGTCTTTGATGACAAGACTACATAAATGTTGTAAACATATTAAATTTTAACTCGTTGACTTAACGGGCTATTCCATCGACATTCGGATTAACAAGAAATTAGGAAAATCCTGGATGAGGAAACTCTTCAAATCATAAAAAGCTTTTTTTTGTTATATGCAACAGCTGTGTATAATTAAAATTGGTATCTACCATTCTTTAAATGCATACCTATTAACCTGTCATGCATCATGGAAACTTCAACGGATTAGATACCAAAAGCTGGTATCGATGAAAGAATGGAAGTTGCGATGTACATAACCATGCACATCTACTTACATAAATAACAAATAAAATACACCGACGAATTGCTATCTTACTGCGACAATTACATTAAAATTATTTTCATGCACTTTCGTGCACTTCCACCGATTCTTAGTTGGTACTAATGGTACCGTACTATGTAACACATTTTAACATTTTCGTGCACCATTTTAATGCAAGTGTTATTTAACAGAAGAAGGAGTGGGATTTAGAGATATTTATCCACGTACTAATAGTTGCGCGGTATTTACTAAAGATATAACACATACAGAAATATTTACTTTATTTTGTTTATCAAAATTTATTTATTAATTTCATTTCATAAATAATAATACAAGCAATGAATATAAAAAAACAAGACCTATCTAAAATAAAATTGATCCTACTTATACCGACATAAGAAACTGATTTCCTGGATATTTAACTTAATCAAATTTTCACTTTTCGACATTTTGAAATGGAAAAGTTATTGATTATTTCATCAAATGAGAGACGTTCCACGATATCATGTTCAATTGATAGAATAGATAAATCGCTAAGGCGCTGCTGACCCATAGTTGACCTGAGATAATTTTTCATAATTTTCATTTTCGAAAAACTGCGCTCATTTGTGGCAGTAGTGACTGGAATTGTCAAGAAGATCCTTAATGCTGTGTGACAATTTATGAATTGCTGCTGCAGCCCATTGATAGTTAAAATATTTAAAATGTCCATAGCTGACATCTTCTCCACAGAACGGTCTTCGATGAATGGTGTAATCGCACTTTTTAAATATAATATCTCTTTACAAAATACTGACAACTCAAAGTCATTCTCGTACTTCTTGGCGAGGTCCTGTACTGCCTTAATATTTGACTCTGTATTATTTTGATTGAGCGAAATTCCCCAGAGAAAGTTAAAGGCCTCTGTAGTCTCATATATGGAATCAAAACGATGCCCAAATTGATCTACCATGGTGTCAATTAAAGCAATAAAAAAATCTGATTCAAATTTCTCTAAATTGTTTTGGTGTGTTGCACCGTGTGTTTCACGGGAACCTACATCACGGAAACGAAGTGGTCTAATTCCTCTTGTTAGTCGATAATGAAAACCGGAATCTTTTGTTATTCCAATATCTTCTGCTTTCTTTTCTGTTATTCTGACAGATTTCTCAAACCCTTGCAGTTTAAAATCCTTGAGCCAATTCAGCAAACCTTTGACATGCTTGCTTGCTATTTCCAGCGTAATGGACTTATCTTGCAATGCCAAATTTGTAATCTGGATTCTTGATAGAATGAAGTCCCAAATGGTTAAGCCAAGAATGAATTTGAAATTAAAAATTCGGACAAATTGCGAGTTTGCATCAGCCACTGTCTGAGCATTAACTTCTTCCGAGTTGGTTAATTCGATTAGAGCCTCGCATGTTCCTTCAAACTCTTCGAATAAAGTGGAGACAGCTTCTGCTTTGGACGCCCAGCGAGTACTAGAATGTCCTTTCAAACATTTATTAATATGAGATTTTAGGACTGACCATCTTGATGTAGATCCCGAAAAGAATACGAACAAACATTGTATTTGACCAAGTAGCAATTTAGCAGGAAGCACCTTATTGGCAGAACTTTCTCCTACACGGTTTAATGAATGGTCCGGACACGGTATAAATATAGCTTTCTTGTTAATTTCTTTAAACCTTGCCTGCACACCTTGATAAAAACCGCTCATATTTGAGCCATTGTCATATACTTGACCCCTGCAGTTCTGTATATCCAATCCGTCTTCTACTAATTTCCGAATTATCATTTCTGTTAATTGTAGGCCGGACTTTCCATCATAGTTTATGAAATCAATGAAATTTTCTTCGATCTTGCATTCACCAGCATTAATTTTGACAGTTCTCAAAACTTGACTAATTTGTTCATTTCGAGATGCATCTTGCGTAGCATCAAACATAATCGAGTAGTAATCACGTTCCTTAACATTTTGCAAAATTTCCTTTCTCACAGTTGCAGCGGACAAATAAATAAACTCGTTCTGAATGCTGGGCGACATGTAGCTGACTTTTGATTTCTTGAGGCGACTGATATGAAGAGCCAGAGGGGGATAATATTTTCCTAACAACTTAATTAATGAGAGGAAGTTCCCACAGTCATGGTCATCAAGTTTAGACGATGTTCCTCGGAATGCTAGATTATTTTTTGCAAGGAAAATAATTGCGTCCAGCATACTATGTAGAACCTGCTTCCAGAAACTGATCTCATTCAGCGTTGCTTCTTGGACTGATTGGTTAATTAATTTTGATGAAGAATGTAATTTCTCGTATTGCTTCCAGCAAATCACTGATTGAAAATGGGCTTGGGATTCCTCGTGGAGTTTGATCGCTCGAGCCTGATGAGGAAAATCCGTAAATCCCACATTGTTGATGCCAATATTCGTCCAGGGAGAATTTGCCAAGGTCGAAGTCGTACCGGTGAAAACAGAGCATGAAAAACAGAATAAACTGTTCGTCGAAACACTATAAACAAGCCATTCCCTTCCTGATGTGCCGGTCGCCTTTTTCATATAATGACTTGGGTTGAATGAAAGTTGTCCTCGTTTGGGAAAATTATCCAACATTTTCTGTACCGGAAGTTTTGACAGTAATATTGATTTCTGCAATTGTGACAGAGGTGTGGTCCAAGTGCTGGGGTGAGATTCATCAAATAACACAGAGTTGTTATCTATTAAAACAAAGACATTCAAATTTGTATTGCACTATTTAAAATTATCTCGTAATCGTAGAAAAACGGAATGATTTATGTAATTAATTGCCTTTTTCGTCAGTTTGTTCCATGCCTAAACTGGGATAAGTGTCATCTTCTTTAAAATTTTCTGAAATATCCACCGGCACTGGCAAGACGTCTCGATTAGATGACGGCGAGCGTTCTGGGATTTGATTTCCATTTTGTAGAGACGAGCCTAATTTATAAATTAAATTAAATTAAATTCATAATTAAAAACTTTACACCAACTAAATAATACCATCCGAGCTGCTTGGAGGATTTATTGGTGCTCGTTTAACAAATTTGGACATCGTCACGGACATTTTGTTGTCCTCAGCTTGCTGAAACTTCCTCTTCCGTTCTTTTTCGGCTCCACCCATTTCTTTCTTCTCTGCAATCGGTTTTAGATTTGCACCTGGTCGGCCCATATTTCTAGCTATTTAATTATGCAAAATAAGATTGGAATTATACAAAAACGTGAGAAATAAAGAACTATTGTAAATAAGAAAACATGTGGAATTGTGTTTTACCATTTGTGGAGATCAGTTCCCGGTGATTGCGAAACTTTAGTAGGGCAGTCTGAGATTAAGCCAATACTACCAAAGTGAAGAATTTCTTGAGCTATTTCCTATGCACTTAAACATATTGCATATTTTAACAGCCGATTAATACATATCTACCGACTGACTGATATCTATCTTATCTAGTGTGGACCCACCTTCGGTACGGCCGGTCCCACGGTCCGGCTGGAGAGTGACTCTCCACCTCTCTCCATAGTCGGTACGCCCCTGTTTATAATGTTGTTATGCGAATTACTAGACTCGCCATGTAGGATGAGGTGATATATTTATGACGAAATAAATTCCGACTCATCCCATATCATTATCCGGTAAGGTGAGAAGGAACTAAAGTGAGGTGATCAAGACGTCAACTTATCTAATTTAATCTCATTTGAATATCAAATGGCTCAAACTGCAAGTTTGTTTTATGTATGAGATATTTCATTTTACATTCATATTAGCACTAAATAATGAATAAATGTTGTCTTAAATGCTCATAAAAATTACTACAAAAATTCCATTTGCTATTAAATCTGATTTTTATTGTGCTGGATACATAGTTGTGCCATTTCACAATAGCACCAATCTCAATATTATCTCATGATGAGATGAGATTTCCTCTCATTGGCAAACTTACGAGTTTTATATTACACATTATTATATTTACTTGGCAAAGATTGTGGAAATAAATTGTCCAACGGAATCAGGAATTAAATATTTTCACTTAAATTGCAGCCTTGTGGGAAATAGGCGATGGTGGTGGAGGCTGGATTATGCAAATGACCAAAAATAATGGACACGACCTAGAATTGAAACCAGGGTCTCTTGCATTCGCGGCAAGTGTTCTACCATTGAACTACCGGGCCGATTACCTTCAGTCATTGCAATTTTCCACCTCCTCATCCATCCACCATCTCGTCCCACAGCCTTTATTTGCTTAACACTATGTAAAATGCGGATCTGCACACTACACATTTCTCTGTCATTCTTAACACCTTGTTCATTGCTTAAACAAATAAAATGTTTATGACTAACATAAAATTGAATTAGTACTGTACCTTAACAATACCGAAATGGAAATGAGCAATAAAACTGGAATATTGTAAAAAATTTGTTTCGAATTAATATATTAAATCAAGTTCAATCAATCATAAATTAACTGAATTTAGCAATTCAGAGAATTCCATAATCCCTTGAATTCCATACTTGTCGGGTCCGATTGATCGGGAAAAATACATGCGTCCAATAAAAAATAACGGATATAAATACCAGCCGAATTGATGGTATGATGCACAGCTAGGAAGATACCTATGGTATGGACATTAAAATTAAAGCCAATTCTTAGCAAAAGGTTAAGTGGCGGATCCTGCAATGCCTAATACATTGAAATTTCAAATATGAATTACTTTTTTATTTTCGAACCGATTTTCAAAATTCCGACTGTTTTGGTAACCTACGACCCAGAGCTAAAATACATATTCCCAGATTTTGAAATTTCTGCCCCACCCACTTACAATGGAGGTCACAAGGTCAGAAAAATTTGCATTTTTCGCAACTTATGAACATAATGCCATGACAATATTCGCCTGTAAATTTTTGTCAATTTTTGCAAACGTTGTTCCTAGCCGTTAAATGGTCGGCCTAATATTAAATTAGGTCATAGTGGGTGTGGCCAGGGGGTGTAACAGAGGCGAAATTAGGCGAATATGAATATTCCTCTACCTATTTTTGAACGTAAGGCTAATATAATCTGGGTATTTTATTTATTTGCACTGTGACGTTTGCCGTTATGGATAAGTGGTCACCCCCCAAGTGGGTGTGGTCAACAGCGCTTTTGGCCTGGGTTAATCAAAGCATGGCTTGAGACATATCATTTTTCTCAGCTCGCCCTAGCCATGGCGGTCGTGTATATAAAATTCAAAAAACCACACCCACAGTGGGTGTGGTCCAGGGGCCACCGTCATGTTCTCACCAAAGCATGCCATATGGCACATCATTCTTCTAAACTGTGCCTACTGTACGTATATTAAAACCGTAGACAATTTTTTCTGAAAAGTAAAAAGCTACATGTATACATTGCCATATTTTGCAGACAAGTATTGAAATATCTATAACTTATGCAATTCTTTACTGATTTTCAAATTCATACATATTCTGGAATACCCAGGCAATTGTCTACAATGTATATTTTCAAATTTTGACCTGGTAAACCTTGATTCAATATTAAAAATTTAAAAATGCAGAAATTTCTTAAATTTTAAGAATCCAGTGTTCGTCGCTTAATTCAAAATTTTGAAATAAAATTCCCTTGTTAATGTTTCTTGGATAGACAAAGCTTGCTAAGTTGTCATAAAGACCTTTGGGGTCGCCAATGGGGTGTGGCTATTGCCTATTGCCTGTTATTGGTTATTGTTATTGTGGTTATAGGCGGATTTTCTAAAATTGCTAGGATCTGTCATGTGATTTATATTCCTTGTCAGCAGTGAACGTGCGTCACAACATTTCCATCTAAGGACATGGCACACAAAGCATGGGGAAATGATACGGTATGGGATTTCGCTGAATTTTTGATATGTTACAGGTAATACTATTCTGGGCAATGTTTAAATTACCCTCAAGGCCGAATTCGACCTGCGTGACCTTGATTTGGGGTCGAAAGGTCGGCAGGCCAGGTCTCACGTAGCCCCATAAATGGGGTATCGTTGGAAAGGTCTCGGCGGGTAGATTCAGAATATATAATATCTAAAAAACACACCCCCAGTTGAGAGTGGTTATCGGCGCATTCTCTTATATTTCAGGGAACTATGACATGCGACGTATATTTTAGGTTCAGACAGAAAAGCCCGTGCCAATGACGGCAGATTTCGAGAAAGACCACACCCATCTATGTATACATATAATGTATACACATAGGGTCGAATTCAATATAAGGAAGAATAAGCATTTGCGTAGATAAGTATATGCTTAGCAAGGTTTTTGCTTAGCAAAATTTGGTATTCAATAAATTGCCAATTTAGGCATGCCTAAAGTTAAGCATTCCTAAAGTTATGCAAAGTCTGATCAAATGCATAAGCACCCTTGAGTGCGCTAGGTTACTGACCTCGTGAAAATTCGATCAAAATTTGTTGACCGTCACCTAATCGCACTTTCTTAGCCCGAGTCAGGGCTTATGTAACCGTCATGTCTGTCTGTCTGTCCGTCTATCGATAACTCTCTTCAAACTTATCCGATCAGGTTGAAATTTTCACCATAATATGTTGATAAGGTGAAAGTACGGATCAAGTTCGAAGATGAATCAAATCGGTTGAGTGGTTGACCGGTGGGGGTCATTGGATTTTTAAAACCAAAGGGTGACTCTTTGGTTTTTTAAAGTTTGGTGCAGTATATTCGAAATTTTTGGTATTTTAGCCTGAATGAAGGTACAAATTCGTTCTACTTAACATATATGAAGGGAAATTGGAAAAAATTTCACCCGGAGGGACCCTTTGCAAAGGGGTACGGACTACAACATTTTTTGTCCATAACGTCTGGACCGCAAACCATTCAACTTTTTCATATCCGGTTTCCAGTATTGAAAATAGGAGGTTTTAATGCTGTGTTTAAGCTTGAATTCGTATTTCAGACCACACCCACCTGGGGGTGTGGTCACGCACCAAATTTATTTTACGCCCGAACTAATCAAAAGGGGTGTGATTTGAAAGATCTGGTAGAGCTCTATTAATTTTGTACAGGTTATGACCGTGCAGCCACTCCTCAGGTCAGGGGGTGTGGTCAAAAGGTAAAAAATATATGATGACGAACCCTATCAAATGGGGTATCGTTGGAAAGCCCTTACCAAGGGCTTGATTTTTCATAATGGAAGCAACTTTGTATCCTCAATACTCAAGCCAGGGGATGCGATCAAAGATGACACGTCTCTTAATGAATTCCGGCTTGCGAAATAATGTTTGCCATTTACCTAATTCAAGAGATATCAAAGTAAAATGTTTACCAGTTCTTCTCCACAACATTAGCTTACACTGACGATTTTTTCAAATTTTAATAACAAGTGCATTTATAGTTGGAGTCAATTAAATACTTTCCACATCCATCAGAGACGTACTAATAGAAAGACTGATTTCTCCATTAATATGCAAAAGTCGCAGCTGGTCGCAGCAGGTTTTGAAATAGATGTCTGGAGGATTAAAAATATTTATTGGGTTCCAAGAAGTGGCAAAGGATAAGACAGGACTTTCAACTTGAAGTTACCGCTATTTAACCTAATGTTAAAACGAAAGTTGAAACATTCACAACTTTCTTCCCAGTAGAGCAATCCAGTTGAAACTTTCTATAATTGTTCATCTATTACCAATGTACATTTAACAATTATTGGTATGTTGATATATAAACATGATTTTTGGCCAAGGAGTTCAGTGTTCCGTACCAGTGTGCTTTGGAGTGACCCACACTGGTTTTGAAATGTTGTCCCAGGTGGCTGAAATTTGGCACGTACGTCCATAATTGTTTATAATGAAAGATTGTGAAGTGAAATCAGCATTTTTCACCAGAGGTACTCAATCGGGTGACACAAATTTTCTAAAATTATCCTGTGAGCTTGAAATTTCTTACAGAGGTCATTATTGGCTGCTACTGGTTATCCTAGTGCGTCACCCACACCGAAATTGAGAAATTGAAAATTGGGAAAATGAAAAATATGGTTAATGGTTGTCTCCATGGCATTGGATAGTGTCAAATTTACCCAAAATTTCTGTTGAAATTCTTTTTTGCATTAAAATGTACCTAGTGGGTGGGCACATCACTTTGGTATAACTTATTTTTGTTTTTGGGGGAGGGTATGGTCAAGCTAGATCGGCAATTTTCCGACCATC